CAAGTGTTCCACGGATTCCCATCATCAACGTGCCAGAAGTGGTGTTTTGAAAGGATTCAGGATTAGGCGGGTGCAACAGTTATGTTGATTCACCGTGTTGAGGTCCTGGGAATGGCGTTCTGGCACAATTCAGGATTGTCAAGACGCAACAGTCAGGTTGCTGCGTGGCGGTGGAATCCCAAGACCAATATTTTGGCATGTTTCAGGGTCTTCCAAAAGTTGTCTTCCAAAGAGGCAGTTCCTTCAATGGAAATGAACCGTCGTAGGGGCCTATGAAGAGGGAACTTGGAGGGAGGGTTTATTCCAACATCGTTGATGGCTCTTGGGCGTACACTGGTCCTCATCCTTCTCCTCTTCCTCCCCCTCCTCCTCGTCCTCCTCCTCCTCCTCCTCCTCCTCCTCCTCCTCTTTCGAAGAAGCAGTCCAGGGGCAGGTAGACCCACACGCGGAGGAAGGCCCACACGCGGATGAAGAACAACCCGCCGAACATGAAGCAGGAGAGCGACACGGGGACGCCAGTGACTGGGAGGACGTAGAAGCCCGCCCTCCTTCGTGCGACCCACAACCCCGAAGCATCGCTCAGCCAAAGAGGGAACACCGAGGGATAGCAAGCACCTCATATCTGAGAGAGATGCTGCCACTCGCTCCGTGTGGTCCTCCCTCCACACTTTCCTTTACCTTGCCCTCTGCGCTACCACGGCGTGAGGGCGCCACGCTGTCGCTCGTCGGTCGCGCCCGCGGCCGCTCGGGAGACACGCGTGAGGCGCTGCGCTCCTCCTCCTCCTCCTCCTCTTTCGCGCCCCACCCACCCCCGAGCGCATCGAGGAGTGGCCAAGAGCGGCGCGTCCCAGAAGGCGATGTCCCGATCGACGGGCCGCCGCAGCCAGCAACCGAGAGCCACTGGAGGCGGTGGCAATGGTGACGATAGGAGGCGCTGGCGCCTTCACCACGGTGGTGCTGGTCGAAGAGGAGAAAAAGGCATACAGTGTCGTTTTTTGTTTAAATACATGCTCCGCGTGCGGATCATGTATTAAAAAGGCAGGGATTTGGTTTTAAAAACAACGAAAAATCCTATGTATGAAGAACTGCCCTGTATGCATAATTCCTCTGAGCTCCGTACGGATTTCTGGGATCGGCATGGGGCCCTGCCAGCGGCGCCTCCGGCGCCGCCCTTGACGCGTTCCGCGTGCCGAGGGGGCTTCTAGCGCAGATCTGAGAAGTCCGCGCGGCCAAATTTGTGTTTATGAACTTGTTGTTCCTATACTTCGGTCGCCCTCTGGAGCTCGAAGGTAATCGCGTTTCGCGCGTCGCGGCCTGGCGTCATATTTGACCACCGCCCCTTCCAACTCGTCCTTCTCCATCCTCACCCATCAAAAATTATCCCGGCAAAGCAACCTAACAGCGATGTGTAGAAGCATATCTGAAAGCATTCCCCTTAAGATTCAGATGAAAATCCAGTTGTCGAATTCTGCTGTTCTCGCAGTCGTAGTCGCATTCGCGATGACAGTCGCAGCGGCAACGGCAGTCGCAGTCACAGCCTCAGCCTCAGCCTGCCTCCTCCTCCTCCTCCTCTTTCTCCTGCTCCTCCTCCTCCTCCTCCTCCTCCTCCTCTTCCTCCTGGTCGTCCTCGTTCTCGTCCTCCTCGTCTTGCTCGTCCTCCTCCTCCTGGTGCTCTCTCCTCCTCCTCCTCCTCCTCCTCCTCCTCCTCCTCCTCCTCCCTCCTGGTGGTCCTCGTTCTCCTCCTCCTGGTGCTCTCCCCCCCCCTCCTCCTCCTCGTCCTCCTCCTCCTCCTCCTCCTCGTCCTCCTCCTCCTCTTCCTCCTCCTCCTCCTCCTCCTCCTCCTCCTCCTCCTGGTAGTCCTCCCCCTCCCCTCCTCCTCCTCCCCTCTTCCTGGTCGTCCTCGTTCTCGTCCTCCTCGTCTTGCTCGTCCTCCTCCTCCTGGTGTTCTCTCCTCCTCCTCCTCCTCCTCCTCCTCCTCCTCCTCCTCCTCCTCCTCCTGGTGGTCCTCGTTCTCCTCCTCCTGGTACTCTCCCCCCCCCTCCTCCCTCCTCCTCCTCGTCCTCCCTCCTCCTCCTCCTCCTCCTCTTCCTCCTCCTCCTCCTCCTCCTCCTCCTCCTCCTCCTCCTCCTCCTGGTACTCCTCCCCCTCCCCTCCTCCTCCTCCTCCTCCTCTTCCTGGTCGTCCTCCTCCTCCTGGTCGTCCTCCTCCTCCTGCTCGTCCTCCTCCTCCTCCTGCTCGTCCTTCTTCTCCTGCTCCTCCTGCTCCTCGTCCTGCTCCTGCTCGTCCTCGTCCTCCTGGTCTTGCTCGTCCTCCTCCTCGTCGTGCTCTTGCCCCTGCTGAAAATGTGGCCCAGGAATGGGAGTTCTGGGAAGTCGAAGAGCACGAAGTTGCCTACAGTTGGCTACGGGCATTCAAAATGTGGCCCGGGAATGGAGTTCTGGGAACTCGAAGAGCACGAAGTGGCCTACAGTTGGCTCCGGGCATTCAAAATGTGGCCCGGGAATGGAGTTCTGGGAACTCGAAGAGCACGAAGTGGCCTACAGTTGGCTCCGGGCATTCAAAATGTGGCCCGGGAATGGAGTTCTGGGAAGTCGAAGAGCACGAAGTGGCCTACAGTTGGCTCCGGGCATCCAAAATGTGGCCCGGGAATGGCGTTCTGGGAACTCGAAGAGCACGAAGTGTGTGACTGTTGCATCCGGCCCCCCAGAATGTGGCCCGGGAATGGCGTTCTGGGATGTCGAAGAGCACTTTGTGTGTGACTGTTGCATCCGGCCCCCCAGAATGTGGCCTGGGAATGGAGTTCTGGGAAGGCGAAGAGCACGAAGTGTGTGACTGTTGGTGAAAAACGAGCCCGGCTCATGCCGCCCGGAAACGCCCCAACACCTGCCCGGACCCCCCTGTGGAGTGATCTGTGAGCTCTTTTGAGACCACTAGAAACCTATCAGTCTTCGCTGTTAGGTAATGATGTGCCGACCTGTGTAGGGGCGCGCTCTGAGTAGGTTTTCGATCAACAGTCGCCCCAGCATTTGTTTCTGGAGCCACCTGGAGGCAGCTGAAGGCCAACAAAAGGTAAGTATCTCTCAAAACATGGATCCTCTTCCTCCTGGAGGCTTCTCCTCCTCCTGCTTCTTCTCCTCCTCCACCTCCTCCTCCCCATTCCTTTTCCCCTTCCTCTTCCTTCCCCGCCTCCTGCGAGAGAAGGTCGATATGTGACCACTTGGGGTCCTCTGCATCCCAGTTGGAGTTTTTTGTGTAGGTCGGTGGGGCGTTTCGTATACAAGAAGCCTCTGGGAAGCTCTGAACGGACCTTGACATTTGCACGATTCCTGAGGACTCCGATGGGTTCCAGAAAGATTCCCCCCGATGTCTGAGGACTCCTGCAGGATTCCAAGGAATTCCTTTGGACAAATCTTGAAGATTGTTCAAGGATTCTCGAAGGTTGCCTGAGGATTCCTCAGGATCCCCGAGGGGTCCCAGAGGATTCCTGAAGACCCCTGAGGCTATCCTGACATGCGGAGCCTTGTGAGGTTCCCAAGGTTTCTGGAGATTCCCGAGGGATCGAAGAGGCAAAAGACGACGACGGCGGCGACGACGAGCAGCACGAGGAGAGCGAGCACAGGGGGGGATGATGATGAGGAGGTGTGGGATACTGGGCGACCGTCCTAGCCTTTCCGCTCGAAACTGTTTGCGCTCTTCTATTCTACAAGCCTCGTCAAAAATAAACAGAAGACTTCTGAACTCGGTGATTGTGGGGTCAGCGCTACTCCAATTCTGACGGATTCCTGTTGACTCGGGCGCGGCCTTGTCCAAAAACCGACCCCACCCTCTCAGCATTGAAGAACGCGCTTTCTGACAAGTGCCCGGGAGCATCGTGCCCCAGGATTTCAACTGCCATTTCTGGATATGTTTGACGAGGCTTGTATGAAAGGATGTATGGACTCACGCGCGCACCCGTACGCCCGATATTGGGTGATTGCTAGTCAGTGCGTACGCGAGGCTCCTGCGCGGAGACCCTAAACCACTCGACATGTGCGATGCCCCGCGCGCATCCTACTGGGCATTCGATCCACGCTGGGGTCTCTCACGCGGGCATGGCGCGCCGTCCAATGATGATGTTGATGGTGCACACGACGAGGAACATACGATGTTGATGGTGTTGATGATGATGCTGATGATGATGACGACGATGATGATGATGGTAATGGTGCTGCCAGCGCTTATGATAATGCTGGTGGTAATGACAATGCTGATGACGACAACGATGTCATTGTACATAATGGTGGTGACTCGGAGCATGATAACGAAGATGGCCACGATGATGACGACGATGAAGGTTGCGACGACGACGAGGATGATGATGATCAGTATGATCATGATGATGATGATGATGATGATGATGATGCTGATGACAATCGCACTGGTGATGCTGATTGCGTATGTAGCTGTGCTGCGAGAGTACCTGGACAACAATTGCATTGGTTGCATGACTTGATGTGCATTGGCTTGCATTGCTCTCCCTTACCATGGATTACGTGTTTTTGTTTGATTCGAATTGTTTGGCATGGCTGTGCATTGCTTTGCTGTGATGTACCTACATATGGTGGCGGACACGGAAATGCCCAAATAGGATGTTATGATAGATTGTGAGATTCAACGTGCCCCTGATAAGAACACATTGGTTACCTAATTGTTTTTGAAACAACAGATGGGCCGTCTTACACAGTCTTACAAACTAAATGCAGCCAATCGGTCACACGAAATCCATCGGGCCAGAGAAAGCTCCAGCGTTGGGCACACAGAAAGCCGAAATGGGGATGTTGAAAACACCACTTGGTCACAGAAAGTGCCGGTCGCTCCCCCTCCTCCTCTTCCTCCTCTTCTTCCACCTCCTCCTTCTCCCCCCCCCTCCTCCCCTTCCTCCTCCTGGTCCTCCTACTCGTGCCCGTCCCTCTCCTCGATCCCCCTTCTCCTCCTCTCCCTCCCCCGCCCCGGGGAGACAGGTGCAGCACGTCGCCGCGCCGCAGCTGGCCCACCCTGCCCTTCTGCCGCAGACGGCGCCCGTGCAGATAGTGTACCAGCTGCAGCCAGGCGACGGACCGGGGGCGGCAGGATGGTGCCTGCGTCTCGTCTCCTCGCCTCTGCTCTAGGTGTTGTGGCTGCTGGGAGGGTGGGTGATGTCCTGTCAGGAGGCTCCGGCCAACCTCACTCGAAGGGAACTGTCGGAGCTCAGTTGGACATTTGCCCCTCTTCATAGCATTCCCATAGCAATCCCCAGTGAGATCGGGGCAGATGGGGTCGGCTCGGAGGATCGCGCCGCGTCGTCGATGCGGCGCGATCTGGGGCGCGGCTTCCCTCATCCTGGCGTCGCCGCTTCATCGCCGATGCGTCGCGATCCCCCCACCCAATCCACTCCCGCCCCATCTGGGGGGCCTCCAGGCTCGTCTCCACGCCTTCACGGCTCCACGGTACAAAAAGCGGAGAGAAAAAAAACACCAATTTTCCATATGATAAAAACCCATACCAAGAAGCACTCTGATTGCCCCCAGGGTGCCCTGGGTTTTTTGGGTCTCGATGGATTTGCAATGGAGTACGTGACGTTCCCATACCAAAACTCAATGTACGTCCTGGGGTTCCAGGACTGGGCTCCTCGAGGAAGGTTTCTTATGGTCGAGCCCCTGCCGTAATTATTGGTTCGTTGACTGTTGGAGGGCTTCCCGCCTCGGGGTATGCTTGCCAGCAGCTGCGCCTCGCCGAGAGCGTTCCGGGGGGCATCGTCACGGCCTGGGGGCGGCAGGATGGCCACACAGTGTGGTGAGTCGGTGGGGATTCGGGATCACCGCACAGTTTTGGGACTTGAGTCGTTCTCCAGGGATGTCTCGGGCGACTGGGGCCTCCAGGGTCCCAAGACCGTGTGGTGACGGACCCTGCGGTGACGTTTTTGGGGATCTTGAGGTCACCGCCGCGTCTGTCACCACACGGTTTGGGGGCCCCCAAGTGGTGCCCGCGCGAGCGACGAGCACATCCATAGCCCTAGCAAAAGTGGCCTCGAGATTTGTCGCTGTCTGCGGCGTCTGGAGACCGCTTTCGGGGCCCAGGCGGGATCGACACCGGGAGGGGGTCCGAGGAGCAGCTTGGAGCGGACCTCGTGTCCACAACCATGCCCACGCGGTATGGATGCCGTGGCGCGACCCCATGGATATGTGATCACCTGGACGCGTCCCGCAGAGAGCATCCGCGCAAAGCCGCCCTGCATCCATAGGGTCGCAGAAGTGGGACCCAGACCGCGAGGCCTTGGATATGGATATGTTTCCCGCCCGCGAGGTGCGGGCAAGCGCAGCAGAGCCCAGGTTCGAGGACGCAGGTGTTGCTGGGACTTTGGGGGCCTGGGACCTCTGGGGGGCTTACTCCTCGCCTGCGGAAAACTAACATGGAGGTGGGTTTCCACGGACGCGCACCCTGGGAGCGGTGTTGTGTGAAACAAGAGGTGTACGAAGGTGTGTACACACCATTTGCTCCGCAAGGTCACGCGATTTCACACGAACGGATGGCCGCGCCCGTTTGTATAAGTGTACGTATTTATGTGCGTTTCACGTGTCATGCACGCTTGCAAGGTATCGTCCAAACATGCGCACGTGCATGCGCATTGCGTTCGCGGCATGTTTTGCACCTCGCACTAGTCTTGGAGCGCGCGCACACAAGAATACATCGATCGTCGTCCTGATGGTCCAAAAAGGATGGGCCGCTTACGAGGCTGTGGGAGGTGGAGAATCACCCTCCTTGTCCAGGCTGGCTGGTCGCCTTTTGTCCTGGCTCTCTCCTGAGCGACACGGCATCCTTTATTCCCTCCCCCCCTCGAGCAAGCCATGCCTCCCCCCCTCTCACGCGCACACTTCGGCGCCGCGGGTGGCCGCACGCGCAGCGGTGCGGCGCAGAAGGTCGGGCGAAGAGACGCGCGCAGCCGGCCCAGATCACGCGGCGTGGAGATGCTGGACCCGCCCATAAGGGATCGACGGCATCACACACGCGCACACACACGCACACACACACACACATACACACACGCACACACACACACACACACACACACACACACACACACGCATACACACACGCACACACACACACACAACAACAAAAAAAACGCAGACCCACACACACACGCACACACACACAAACACACACACACACACGCACACACACACACAAAACACAAACACAAACACAAACACAAACACAAACGCACACACACACACACACACACACCCTTCCACTTCCTCAAGTCTCGGGTCCCCTTCCCCTTCCCTCCCGCCACCACCTCCCAGCCCTTCAACCCGCCCCTGCCGTCGCCCGCCCCCTCCGACTGCCCCGTCCCCTCGCCCGTGCCCTCCCCCGCGCCTTCCACTCGCCCTCCCCGCCCCCGCGCCCTCCTCATCACACTCCCGCTTCCCATGTCCCCCATTTGCTCCCCGCGCCGCTGCAGGCGCCTACCCTATGCCGGCTCACGGCGTCTACACCGTGCCCACGGCCGTCGCCCAACCGCAGGTGTACCAGGTGGCGGCGCCAGCGATCCACCATTCTGGAGCCAGCGGCAGCCAAGGGGGCCGAGGAGCGGGAGCAGGAAGGGGAGGAGGAGGAGGAGGAGGAGGAGGAGGAGGAGGAGGAGGAGGACGACGAGGAGGACGAGGAGGACGAGGAGGAGGAGGAGGAGAAGGAGGAGAGGGAGGAGGAGAGGAGGAGGAGGAGGAGGAGGAGAGGAGGAGGAGGAGGAGGAGGAGGAGGATGGAGGAGGGGGGGGAGGAGAAGAGTTGGAGGATGATGAGGAGGAGGAGGAGGAGGAGGAGGAGGAGAGGAGGGGGAGGAAGAGGAGGAGGACGACGAGGAGGAGGAGGAGAAGGAGGAGGAGGAGGAGGAGGTGGAGGAGGAGGAGGAGAGGTAGGGGAAGGGGGGAGGTCCCCTGAGGTCCCCGGAAGCTTCTGCAGGCCTCCAGAAGCGCAATCAGGACCAAAAGCGTCCAAAAGAGTTCTTCGTCGGCCATAGAGGAGAAAGAGGAGGAGGAGGAGCAGCAGCAGCAGCAGCACGAGCAGCAGCAGCAGCAGTAGCAGTAGGAGAGGGGGAGGAAGAGGACGAAGAAGAAGAAGACGAAGAAGAAGAAGAAGAAGAGGTGGCGGGGGAAAGTGAGATGAGGAGGAGTGGCAGGAGTGGGAGCGGTGGCGGCGGGGCTCTGGCGGCGTCCGAGGGCTGGCCCCCGAGAGCGTGGAAAAATTGCCCAGATGCGAAGTAAGATTGCCCCGGGGCGAGCACCACCGCGATCCTGGGCGCTCGAAGCAAACGCATCATTAAGCTTCCATGGTGCTGAGACATAGACATCATGTTGTATGTACCATGCCCGACGCTATATACAGATACGATTGTATGTACATACGTATACATGCCAGGTCTAAAGCAGGAGCTGCCGCCGATCGTGGTGCGCGATTCCCACCCGACGTTCCTTGCAGCATCCGTTGCGGGTCCTCTTCGAAGGGCCAGCGTGCTGGGCTCGCCCGCAATGGGCTCTCATCTGGTCATAGGTATTGCGTGTTCCGACCCTTCTACCACATTTGTTGCTGTGTTTGTTGATGATGTTGCATGTGTTTGTCCGCGCCGTGTTGTGCAATCATATTTCGGGTCGACATGGGGGCCGTATTCTAGACGCTTCGCGTCACCCCACCAGCCCACTCAGAGACGAGGCCCACACGAGTTGTTTTTTTATCAGTTGGGGATCATGCCGTGAAATTAAGGTTTGGGGAAGCCGTCATTTCCCAAGAGGGGAGATCTGGGAGGTCAGATCAGAGCCGGTCAGCATCCCTGCCACAGCTGGCGAACGACACCCCCCTGGTGAGGGTGGCCCCCAGTAGGCACCACCCAAGGGTCTCCTTGCACAGCTCAGCCTCACAGATCTCTGCTGGTGGCGGTCCACGACTGCTGGTCGTGTCACTCGCACAATGTTGGGACCCTCCCCGTGCAGCGAGGGGCCGCACTTTCAAAAGCAGGCAACACGCACCCCAGCGCGCCGCGCGCTCTGACATTCCAAGGCGGCGGGCGCCCCCGGGGGCAGCATGGAGGCTCTCGGCGTGCACTGTGCTGCCGCCCAGGGCCCCCCTGTAACCACACGCACCCAGGCGCGCCGCCCCAATAAGCTTCCGTGGGGCACCACTCCCACGGAGACAAACCTACCTTTCAGTCGGGCCCGTCCCTCTACAGGGGGAATGTTCAAAAACGATTTAGACAAAATGGTCTAGGAACTATTGCTTGGGTATGTTTTACATGTCGTCCAAAACCCCCCTGTAGGGGGACAGGCCCGACTGAAGGGTAGAGGGCGACGAGGAGCAAAAGTCTCTCCCCCCTCCCCGCCCCTGCCGAACAACGTGGTTGCCCACGACCCTTGGACAGGCACGAGCGAGGTGACGATCGGGCTGCCACCCGCCTGCTTACCCGGGAAGGGGACCCAGTAACACAGGTGTTATTCCCTACGTAAGAGGGGGAGGATGGAGGAGGAGGAGGAGGAGGAGGAGGAGGAGGAGGAGGAGGGGGGAAGGGTGAGGTGGAGGAGGGAGTAGGGAGGAGGAGGAGGAGGAGGAGGAGCGAGGAGGAGGAATAGGCGGATGAGGACAGGAGAAGGAGGAGGAGGAGGAGGAGGAGGAGGAGAGCGAGCAGAAAGGCCAGAGGCCTTTCGGATGCCTCTCGGAGTCTCTTCAGATGTCGCTTGATAGCTTCTTGGAGGCCTTTGGGGAGTCTCTCTGCGGTCCCGTGGGCCTCTTGGAGCGTCGTGGGTGTTTTGGGGGGGAGTTTCTTGGGACCTCTTGGAGGTCTCTTGAGGGCCCCTTGGGGGTTTCTTTGGTGGCCTCTCGGGGCCTCCTGGGCGCCGGTTTTTGGGGTTATCGTGGGGAAAGATTGGGAGCTTTGGGGACCATGTCGGGGCCACCTTCGATGAGTTCGATCAAAGAAGGGGGAGGCTCAATTAAAGAGGGCAGCCGTTATCGTTCGAAGGAGCAGGAACAGGAAGAGGAGGAGGAGGAGGAGGATGGATGAGGCAGGAGGGGAATGAAGAGGAATAGGCGGATGATAACAAGGATGATGATGGTGCTAATGACGATGATGGTGATGACGATGAGGAGGATGAGGAGGAGGAAGCTGATGATGATGCTGATGATGGTGATGGTGGTGGTGATGATGATGACGACGATGTTGATGATCACGATGCTGATCATGAGCATGGTCATGATCATGACTATCATCGTCATAGGCATGATCATGGTGATGATGATGATGATGGTGATGGTGATGGTGAGGGTGATGTTGATGGTGATGGTGTTGGTGATGGTGATGATTATAATGGTGTCGATGATGATGTTGGTGATGATACTGGCGACAGTGATGGTGATGCTGATGATGGTAGTTGTGGTGGTGGTTGTGATGATGATGGTGGCGATGATGATGGTGATGATGCTGATGATGGTGATGGTGATGGTGACGGGTGGGTGGTGATAGTGACGACTATGATGTTCATGATGATGATGGGTGATGATGAGGAGGAGGACGTTGATGATGATGGTGGTGATGATGGTGGTCATAATGATGACGAAGATGGTGATGGTGGTGGTGGTGATGGTGATGATGATGAGGAGGAGGAGGATGATGCTGATGTTGATGATGATGATGATGATGATGATGATGATGATGATGATTGTGATGGTGGTGGTGATGACGGTGGTGGTTCTGGTGGTGGTGCTGATGAATGAAGAGGAGGAGGAGGAGGAGGAAGAGGAGGAGGAAGAGGAGGGATGAGGAATAAGGAAGAAGAAGGAGAAGTAGGCGGAGGAGGGGGAGAAAAGGCCAGAGGCCTCTTGGAGGCCTCTTGGGGCGTCTGGGGTGCCTCTGGATGGGCTCTTGGGGAAGCTGATAAAGCATTGCACAGTACTGCGGGGCTTAGGCGCTGTGGGATCTTTCGCAATTCGCTGAAGCTGGACCCAAGACAAAAAAGACATGTGTTAGGCGTTCATTTCGAAGAAAAATATGATGCACCGGAATGGGGTAGCGCACGGGTAGCCGCATGAGGGCAAGTGGTCTTGACTGAAACGAGTTGTTGATCTGGGGTTTTTGTTTGGGGGGACCGCCGTTTCATTTTGGCCGTTTTTGGCGGCACCTGGGACTTGGGGAAGTCGAGCGCGGCCAAAATGTCAGAACCCGCCTCCTTGAGGATCATTTCTCTTCGTCGCGGAATGGAAAAGCTCCTGCAGGGTTCGACCCGGGCTGGAGGAGAGAGGCTGCCCCGCCAGGGCGAGAATCCGTTTGAAAGGCTCGACAGGCAGCGGCGGTCGGCCCTCCTCGACAGCGCATACCGTCAGCTGCCAGATGGCAGTTTCCATCCAAGACTGGTCGCAATGTGTATGCTCTATTAGCTCGTGCCTCCTCTTGGCGGCACCCGCGATATCCAGCGTCGTTTGGTACTTACGGTCGTCATCCTCCGCCTCGAGTTCCTCGTGCGTCTGTTTTTGTTGTTGCTCACCATATCCCTTCTCCTCCATCTTCCTCCTACCTGTTGTTGCTATTGCGTATTTTTGTTCGAGCGTGCGGGTCCTCTCCCTCTTTTGCCCGCTGGCGCAGGAGCTCCCACGGGCGCGAGCACAGCGGTGGCTCCGCAACTGTACTACGCGTAGATAGCTTTGGGCTAGCAAGCTTAGGATTGATCGTCATGTTCGTCCCCTTGTCCTCATAAAGCTTGTTACCCCTTCGACCTCCTCGTCCAATTCAGCAGCCTCTGTCTCCCCCACACACACAACTCATATTCGTATCCGAATATCTCATCGCACGCATAGATGCGACTGCGGTGCGGAAGCCGAGTCCCGATGACAAAAGCATCTACGCCAAGTGACGGGAACTCGTATCACGCATTGGCCCTTTGCAATGTTTCGAAAAAGGCGTGCGACACTATAGTAGAGATGCTTCGCCATTTTCGAATTCGGTTTGTGCGTACTGTTGCTACTAGTGTGACCACCGCTTCCATTGCCCCTACTACGACTACGATCGACTAGCGCTGGTATTTCTGATACTGCTACTTTCGCCAGCCCTACTATTGAGGATGGGATGATACGTCCAGTGCGACGTTGACGAACACGACGACTACTACTCTCATTGCTACGCACGCCCCCCTTGAGCCGAAGCCCATTCCCCCTGGCATTGACACGGCAAGGCCTTCGTCCTTCACATTTAAATTTCCCTCTTCCGCCGCGCACGCCCCTTTTTCATGTTCATCCTGGCTCCACATCCATCCAGCAATATCATCATTAATTTCCTTCTCCCAGCTGTACATATATGTGTATAGATCCCTCTCTGGCTCACTTCGTCCATATTCCCCAAACAGTGTGTGGACTTAGGGGTTCTTACTTGTGCCCGAAGGAACTGGGCCGTGTGGCCGTTCTGGCGGCTATGTACTCGCCGTCGCCGCCACGTCGCCGTTTCGTCGCCGCCCGTCGTCTGGGCCGTGTGACCAGTCTTGGTTATGAACTTGCCGTCGCCGCCTCGTCGTCGCCCGTCGTCGGGGCCGCGTGTCCGGTCTGGCGGCTATGTGGCCGTCGTCGCCGCCTCGTCGCCGCCCATAGCCGCCGTTGGATTCTCGTTTCCTAAGAGACCATTAGGATCTACACCTCCCCCGCCCCGGATTTCATCGTTCGTTTTTCGCATTGCATTGTACACACGATTCTGCTACATCGTCCATCCTAAATATGAATCTATCACTCTTGCCAAACCACTGACGCCCCCATCATCATCCTCTGCAACATAGAATATCAAAATTTAGAGCTGTTTCGTTTAGAATCCCATGCCCAAAAAAACAGGACGAAGCGCACACGCGCTCGTTGTCGCGCGCGCGTGCCGAAATCATTCAAAAACTCATGGGCGTCTAAAAACGTCAAAATCGAGCATCCCGAAAGCATACAAATTCACACACACACACAGACACACACATACACAAAATGTTTCGCAATAAGAATGTTCAACAAATGTTTGCTTTCGATCGATTACGAATTCATTTTTTTACATTTTCATAACTTGCTACCCAGCGAGCCTCTCGCGCGCGCATGCCGGAATTGCTTGAACGCCTTCTGCGAGCGCGTTGTCGCAAGAAACCCTTGCCAAAAAATGACGAAGTGCACACGCGCGCGTCGTCGTGCGCGCATCCGGAAAGCCTTCAAAATTCTGGGTTCCGTAAGGATTCAGATTCCAGTGCCCTGAAGACTTATAGAAACACACGGTTGTGCAACAGCAGTTTTCAAAAATGCGTGCGTTCGCGTTCCTGCGAATTCTTACGAAAACCACGCGTGTTTCATGTCCATTCCATTGGGCCAAACGGGCCCCTCGCGCCGCACGTCGAAATCATTCGAACGCCATTGCGCGCGTCCTGGTGGGGGCATGACCCGTGTCAAATAATACACTGCGAGCCACTCTCGCGCGTCGGCCGCGCGCGCATGTCGAACTTCCTCCAACACCTGCATCACCGACGCGAGGGCGCCGTCATCGTCGTCGGCGTGATCAGATTCGGCGCCGTCACTGGCTTTGCCGTCGTCTTTGTCACCATCGTCACCAGCATCGCCATCATCATCACCGCGTCTACCGCTGTCGACGTCGCAGTGCTACCGCGCCTGCCCAAGTCGCCGACTCGCACTGCAGTGCCCGTTGGGAAGTGCCTATCGGTCAGCGCCACCGCGGCCTCGTCGGCAGCGCCTAACAATCTGGCCGCCACGCGTGCGAGCATGCGCGGGTTGGTTGGGTTGGTGCGAATTCAAATTAAGAATGCACCATGGGGCAGAAACGTGCGTAAATTGCACATCCCCAAGGGTGGGGGGAAAGTCTGGTCTCGGGGGGGCTGTGGATCCTCATTCATTTTTTGTACAAGGATAAACATACGAAGGGAAATGACATGAATGCACCGCAACCGACGTGGTAAACTCTAAACTGTACAACATCGGTTGTGAAGCCGCATGTGCGGAACATTTTTTCGCACAGTCTTTGTGGTGCGAGTGGTTTATGTCTGCAATGAATTGTCCGTTCCATTGTTCGCGCAATCATCCTGCCCGCCAACGTGCAAATTGGCTTGCGAAACCCATGCGGCGGCGATGGCAATGAGAGCTTGGATTTGGCCGGCGCGTTTCCGCGGCCGCGCCAGCCCGCGCACGCTCGCTCGCGAAGCGGCCACATTGTTCCGCGCTGCCGACGCGGCCGCGGCGGCGCCGGGCATTTCCCAGCGAGCACTCCAATGCGAATCGGAGACTTGGGCGGGCGCGGTAGCATGGCAACGCGGGAAAGGGCGCGTTCCGCGGTCGCTTGGAGGGGGGGGTGGAACCAGACCCCCTCCCCTCCCGCGACAGAGGGGGGGCGTCGAACCCCCAACCACTTACCTCTCCTCACTCCCCCTCTTCGGCTGGCGGCGGCGGCGGCGGGGGCGACGATTCCTTTTTCCGGGTTGGCGCCGGCGCCTGCGGCGGCGGGCGGCGGCGGCGGGGAGGGTCGACGAGGACGACGGCGGTGGTGGTGGTGGGTTGTGATGGTGGCGGCGGCGGTGGTGGCGGTGGCGGTGGTGGTGGTTGTGGCGGTGGTGGCGTGGTGGTTTGTTTGTTGCGGTGGCGGCGGTGGCGGCGGTGGCGGGCGGCGGTGGAGGTGGCTGGCGGCGGCGCCCGAGCTGGAGCGCGCAATCCGCCGCTGCGCGAAGGAACTCCGGCGCGATGAGGGGGCGCCTGATCCGGAGGCGGCCGCGCCTGCCCCGCTGGCGGATGCCCGCGTGGAGGCGGACGTTGGCGGGGCGCTGTCGCCCGCCGCGGCGCCACCTGACGCGCGCGTGGCCGCTGGGCCATCTATCCCGCCCGGTGACTGGGTCGCTGTCGAGAGCAGGGTGGGATACCAGATCGGGGGTTTGATTCGCGATGCACGGCCTGAGGCGACGTTCAATGATCGCGGCGCCCTCGAGCTAATTAGCTGACGGCAGCTGCCTGGCTGTAGGGCTGGAGGGCACCGCGTCCCCGGCCACGCCGCGGGGCCCTCAGGACATCCGCATGCTGGCATTGAAGACCGGCATGGTCGGCGATCGCAGCAGGCCGTTCGCAGACGCGGCGAATCACGCGAGGTCGGAGTCCATCCTTGGCCGGCCTATCATCGGGCCGCGCACGTGCCTTTGGCCGTTGCTCCAGTGACAGAAGCTGGCGCACACGCCGCTGCAGCGTCATCATTGGTGGCGCCAGGTCCTCGGCCTGACGTCCGAGGACCCTGGGGTGGACGAGCACGCGCTCCTGAGCGAGCTCCTCGAGGTCGGGTGCCAAGTGGGCAAGGTCTGCCTGCCCAACCGCGGCGCGGTCTACGAGATGGCGCGCAGGAGATACCAGCAATTGGAGGAGGTGCACAGCAATGCCCTTCGCGAGGCGGATGGCGGCGTCGGCGCAGGCGGCGCAGGCTGGCTCGACGAACGCGAGATCTCCCGGGGCCAGCAGTAGGGGAGTGGCTCCGCTTTCGTAGCTCCAGAGATGAAGGAGCGGGTTGCTGAGCGACTGCCGAAGGTGGCGGTGGTCTTGAAGGAGATGAGGAAAACGAGAGAGGAGAAGCTCCTGTCGCAGGGGGTCGCGCCCGGTGGAGCGGCCGCGCCTGCCCCGCACACGCGCGCCGCGACGGCAGCCACAGGCTGCTTTGCCCGCCCCGCCGGGCTCTAGAGCAGTCCACGATGCCAAGGCGAAGGGCAGGGCAGCGGAGACCGAGGCGAAGGCGATGGCGAAGGCACGAGCTGCCAAGGCGGCCGCAGCCGGGGCCAGGGGCGACCCTTGGCTCCGTCCCTGTGTCGCGGCAGAGGCGGCCAGAGTCTCCGACCAGTTCTCGGGGGGCGCCCGCGGTCCGCCTGGCGCTGTTGCTTCGGTCGTGGACGTGAATACGCCTTGCCGAGACCTCCTTCCGATCCCGCTCGGCGTTGGACTGGGCGCCGCCCCCCTGACCGCGAGCCCGCTCGGGTTTTCAGCGGCTTCAGCCAGGGGGGGGCGCAAGACGTGATCGACGGAACAGGTGGTTGCGAGATGAAGTTCGTAATTTGATAGCACTGGGAAGCCAGGGGCGCCCCATTACCCACGAGGCGGCGCTGACAGAGGCCCGAAGCGCCGATGCACGCCGCCTCGTTGGATCGCATGGTTCGACGAGCTTCCCAGATCAGACCCATGACCCCCATGCTTCGTGGAAGGCATTGCAAGGCCTCCGACCAGGCCGAAGCGAGGCCGAGTAGGAGGGCGGCAGAGCAGCATGCCAGCCCAGCAGGATTTCATCGCTTGGCGGCGGCGCTGGACGGGTCAAACTCGGCACGATCATGCCCGAGCCGCTGCGCGACATGCTGGAGACGGGCCACGGGTGGCTGCGAGACCCTGCCGAGGTCTCATCCACTTGTGAATCCAGCGAAGGGATTGATCCGAAGCTGGCGAGGAAGCGTCACAAGTTTGGCCACGCTATGTCGGAGCACTCCGACGCTGGCGCCGTCGAGCTCGACCCCAGGAACGTCGGGGAGGAGATAGCCTCGTCTTTCGCGCGGCGCAAAGATCACGACAAGCTTCACTTGATCGAAAACACGCGAGCCGCCAACGTTCACGTCAGCGAGCCCGCCTACGCGGAGCTCGCCAGTCCAGGCGCGCTGACGGCCATTGAGCATCATGGCCCTGGGACCGCGGGCTTCTGCGCCAGCGATATCGAGGCGTGCTT